ACACACACACACACAGACAGCCTTTCGACAATATGCGTTTTTGCTGGCTGTAGCAGCGCTATAGCGTTTTTGCTGTGCAGCGCTGCACAGCAAAAAAGATGCATAAAAATGTTCAGCTCTGAGATATTCGATGATGCTTGGCGAATCCAGCGAACGGATTCGTTGGACTTGACAGTTGCTCATGATGTCTGCATGCCTTTCAAAGCTGATTCTTTATAGAGGGGGGATCTATAACAAACGATATGCTTATTGAATAAGTTTATTTCATTTGAGAAATACAGTCACAGTGCTTTTTTAGTTAGAGCATTTCATGGCTTCTGTACACATATAACCAATTTGTGCAGATTTTGCTTAGATTTTAAACTTTTCCTCGGTTTTTGGCCAAAATGATATAGCGCACCGTAGATTTTGATTCCATTGAACAAGTCTGTATATGCAGGCAAGCCAACTGCAACATCTTTCTGGACTAGTTGGTTACGCGGTATCTGTGGATTTGCTTTATCATGTGGAGCAGATGGATTTATTGTGCTTGAAAATATTGATCGGCAACGCGTGGGCGCGCCCTACGAAATTCCGTCTCTTTAGGCACTTAACTAGGTACAATTCAGTTGTTTTGCTCAAAGTAATAAAGAAGAGACACTCTTGCGGCCAATTTTATTTGAATCTGTCTGCTGAAGACTCACTGGCTTCGTAAATTACTGTGCATTTTTTTAGTAAAATTTGAATAATTCCTGTTCTATATTTTCCCAGCTGTGAAAAGCGAGAGCACTTGAGACAGTTTCATTCGTAGTGCAGTGCCTAATATAACTACTGGTTGGCAGGGATGCTGATGGCTTGATTTTCTGAAGGCTGCTTGGAAGTAACCTGGTCCCGATTTTAATTTTCTACATACGCCAGTACCAATTTACCATCAAAATGAATGAGTGAATAGGAGCGATATCGGTTCTCCCACTGGCAAAGTCCAATCTTTAGCAGGAAGAATAGCCCCACTAACCACTCAATTTCGATTTTAAAATTCGTTAACCATAAAGCATTTCGACAGGTTCCGTCAATGGACAGAGGCAGATATGCTTGGTGAGCGTTATTTTCAACAGTTCGGTACGACACGTAAACGCACTCGAGGCTTATCCTATTGCTTGCAGTGTCTATAGTGATGCGGTATGCCGACGAATTTTGTGAACTTCGCTTAAGATAGGTTTTTTTTTTTCTTTTCATTTCTGTACACGACGGGACTTAACTTCAGTAGTAACTCCGAATTTGTTGTGATTCGTTTTGTTTCTTTTTTCTTTACTCCTTAACTTTTCTTCTGGTTGTCCTTCTCACTTCACGCTGTATTATCTTTCCTGAGATATTTTATGTACAAGTTTCACTACTGAATTTGCATTTTTCGTTGTTTTGTTAAGTTAAAGCATATTTTAATTCATTAGTTAATTCTGTTAGTTAATTCTAACATCCAGTAAGAAGTCTCTCAAGGTTTTTGAAGGGATGATACTGCAGCCAAGAAACTGAAATTGGATTAGTTGTGTACAGAAACAAATAAGAGATAATATTTGATCTGTGGAACCCCTCGCCATCGATGCACCTAACAAGCTTTTCAGGGATCACAGGATCGGAGAACTGCTTCGCTTAGTTTTGTTAATCCAGGGTGTCTTCTTCATGCGTTTGCAAATGAAAAATTATAGATGCGTTGCTTTAGTTTCGATGCTTGTGAGGTCCTTTAACTCCTCTATAAGCCCTCTTGTCTCGCTTTAGAGTTTTGCTAGGATTTAACTGTTTAAAAATATCCGGGCGTACACCGAACTCTGGATGCACAGATGCTCGAGACACATCTCGCAGCCTTCAACTTCCAGTACAAAAAAAAATACGAAAATACGATTCAGGTGACGGGAGCCAGTAGGAAAATATGATTTAAGCGATGGGAACCAGTGGTTGCTAGCGAAGCAGGCAAAACTGATACAGCAAACAGCTTGCAGAAAGCTGTCAATGGCTTTTAAAAATGCTGCAGACAAAACATAACGGAGAGGAATTCGTCGGGACAAAACAAGACAAAAATAAATATGATGGGATGCGGACCCAGGAGGCAAGCTCGAACTGTCATCACATACGAATCAACGAAAGCAGCTGACAAAAGATCAAAAAAGAGAACTCAGCAAATGAAATTCGAAAAGCTGCAAGCGAAAGATGGCGCAAAAAGAGTTGCTCAAAAAAAAGCAGAATAAATAATGCAGCTGCGCTAGGAGAAAACCAACAAAGGAATGCACCGGCATGAATAGGACAAACAGTAAAATTATTTCCTATAAAAGAGCGGCAAGAGATTCAAATCAAAAGAAGCGGAACGCTTATATGCCCCGAATTTGATACCCAACAAACATTTAGCAATGTTGCGATCATTTGCAAGTCGTATGGGAAATCTGCCCAACGCCTTATTCAAGCGTCACTGGATTTTTCTTACCTAGAGCACTGGTCACTTTGGAATTCTGTGGACACTGAAGAGAAC